TAATTTTTTATTTTTTAATGATCAATAATTAATGATCAACAAAAAAATATTAATACCCCCGTCCTCAAGGCTCAATTATTTTCTAACTTAAGGACAAATAGATAATTTTATTGTAGTAATCCATCTTATTTATTGCTACAGTGAAACTCACGGTTTTTTAGAGTTTTTATTAATTGGTATAAGTTGCTAACCATAAATGAATTTTAAAATAATATTATTTTAGATAAAATAAAAAAAAACATTAAAATTGACCTTACCAATTGTCATCCAGGTTTGTTCATGTCAAAGTTGACATACCAAATTATTTGAATTTCATGGGTCAATGTCCAAAAATAATTCAATAATAAACACGATTTGGAACAACTTCAAGTACACAAATCACCATATTTGCATCACTAATCCACCCAGAAACCAAGTTTTACAGCCAAATTGATCAAACTACAGACAACTGCAACATCCAACCACCAGAAGCAAACAAATCTTCTCAGGTAGCAGAAGGGCCGCTGCCTGCCATGTGAAATCCATCACATTTTGCCTTCTCCCTTCCACCCGACCGAAACTATTAGTGTATGAAAGCGGCGAATAAGTCATCCCTGACGAACACAAATCATTATCATTTCCGAAACAACGTTGTTTTCACTCACTAGAGAAATTACCCTCTCATAAGTTTATACCTTTTAATAATCAAAATCACATTAAATAAACAAAACGTTGGGCGTCAAATCAACTCTACCGGCAAAAAGAATAAACATTAAACACCATGTAGGCTTAACACGGTCACAAACAGTTCATTCTTGAGTTTGCATCAAGGTTTCAAATCATAAGAGAGGCTGAAATAAAATAATTAATTTCTTTTATAAATATACTGATCCAATTAGTCATATCAAACCGAGAAAAAAAATGGTGTGCAATACATTTATTCTTGATAAAATTATTTTTTAACTTGGAAAAAAATAAAATAATATTTTTTTATTTTTAAAAATTTATTTTAATATTAATATATCAAAATAATTAAAAAAATAAAAATAATTTGATTAAGTAAGAGTCATGATTGATACTTAAAAGTGTATTTTTTATCAAGGTTTTATATCATCATTTTGCACTTGAAGTATCAATAACTCCTTAACTAAAGCATGTTTTATAATAATATATCTAATAATACAAGATACCTTTAATTTGTGGTAAATATTCATTTTAAATGCAGGCCTATCACATAAATGAAAGGATTGATTGATGAATTTAAGAACTGAAATTGAAAGGAACTTGATTTGTTGTTAACATAAGTTATAATCATGAATGCTTGACGAGATTTACAAGTATTAGCATTAATTGAATAAGATGACTAATGTAATCATGTTAACAATATATAATTTGATTGGAACCTCCTTTGTGTGTGGCTTCCAATTCAATAATAAGAGTTTATACTATACTTGTTTGATATACCATTAGTGGAACCTCTAACCTTGACATTTGTTATTATTATTGCTTAATCCTTACATTAATATTTCATCTCTAAGTTCTCATCATCATCATCTTCTTCTTCTTCTCTTTCTTTATTATTATTATTATTATTATTATTATTATTATTATTATTA